GGCAAGGCTCTAAAACTGGCATTTAGAGTCAAACAACAAAATTTGGTATAATTGTATAATATAATATCCTTATAAAAGTATTGTTTAGAAAAAAATGTGATACTTAAGACTCTTGTGCTAGCTATATCATAAAAGACTATAAACCTGTGAGTAGGAGAGAGCCATCATCAGTGCACCATATGCATAAATTAGGAGATAGGAGAGCTGAGGGAGAAAGGCAGAAAACGCTGAACAGAAAGAAGCAGAGACTAGAGATGAAGACAAGATGCTGGTCCTCCAGAGGTTTAAGCAGCTCAGGACTCTCCTGTGATGTAAAGAACAAAGTCACTGCCTCCAAAAGGGATAGGAGAAAAGGACTGGTCCTTGACTAAGAGTGCATGGTAGTCGCAAATCTGGGGGCTGCTTTTTGGCCAAGGGAGCAGCCATTTGAAGGCATGTGGGAGAGAAGCACCCTTTTGCTGTGTCTGAGATGCCAGCAAGGAAGGGATACTGCATCAGTGAAGGAATAGAGGGCACCCAGGAATCTGTGAGTCCTCTGAAAATACACACAGAATGTGGGGTCTATTTTTCTATCTTTGCTGTATCTTCCTGCAAAAGAAGTTTCATAGATTCTACTAGATTTGTGAGATGGTCTTATGTAAAATGGTCAACAATCACTGTTTTATAGCAATTAAAGTTGCTCCTGGGCCTACTAAATACTCAGGAAAGGTGAGGGGGTAGCGCCGACGCAAGGTCTTTTAAGGCTGGCATGAATGTAAAAGTTGATAAATAGTTAGCAGAGGAATGACAGCTGAACATGCAGAAGAAGGAAAAGTCAAGCCCACGGGAAAGGGGCGACCTTTCCTGGCACAGGAAAACAAAGACAGACAATGCAAGTTTTTGGGAAGGAATCATGCGATTTCACCTCCTGAAACCCAGAAGTGGAAAGAGGGAAGAAATTAATTTTTTTTTGTTAATTTGTCTGTTTATTTTTAATATTATCAAGTGAAGCTATCATAACATAGGTACATATACAGAATATAAATTACTTAATTGGTGAAATATGATCTATTTTTTTAAAGAGCTGAGGCAGGACTGGGTGTGGTAGCTCACATCTGTAATCCCAGTACTTTGGGAAGCTGAGGCAAGTGGATCACATGTGGTTAGGAGTTCGAGATCGACCTGGCTAACATGGCGAGACCCAGTCTCTACTAAATATACAAAATTAACCAGGCGTAGTGGCACACGCCTGTAATCCCAGCTACTCGGGAGGCTGAGGCAGGAGAATCACTTGAATCTTGGAGGTGGAGGTTGCAGCAAACCGAGATCGCACCGCTGCACTCCTGCCTAGGTGACAGAGCAAGACTCCGTCTCAAAAAAAAAAAAAAAAAGCCGAGGCAGTTACACATTTTTATGATTATGAGTGACAAATAAAGTTATACTTACTCAAAACCAAAAGTAACCATATCCACAAAAAATCACACACAGTATTATGTTTTCAAAAGAAGATTTAAAAATAGCTTTAAAAACGGTCTCTCTGGGAACTTACGTTCACAATTCAGCGGATAACTGATCTTCACCTTCTGCTCATTACATGTTTTAGGAAGAATAAAAAGAAACAGTGTGATTCTTGAGAGCAAGAATACTCTTATAAAAAGAAAATAATTCATTTTCATATGATTCTGGAATAAAACAAGCTCTTTAAAAAATAAAACACTTTCGACCAAGAAAACAAAATGAAAAAAAGATTTCCTGAGCTCTTGGTACTGAAGGAGGCAGGATGTTTGTACATGTCACAAATCCTACTGGCAAATGCTGTGGTCTGTGGATCTCAGAGCAGTGAACTCAGAGGAGTAGATGCCGAGGAACCCCACCCAGCCCCTGCCTGCCTCTCCCGGAACTCCTCTGCTGTCCTCTCCTCTAGAGGGCAGTGTTCCATGTACAATTCCACTTAGAAAAAAGTGTGTCAGTTTCGCTGGTGCGTCTTAATGTTATGGGGGTGAGATGAGTCCAGTGCTAATTCTAGGATTAGACTCCTTGGTGCAGCAAGACCCATGGCGTTTCATGTCTCACACATATCACAGGGGTCCTGGTGCCAGTCTTGACCCTACTTCTCATGTATCTCAAATGTCCTTCTTGGCACTCACAGCCAAGTCTTTCAGAGACAGCTGCCATCTGCTTTAGGATTGGGTTTCCGCACTGTTATGATCTAAATGTGTCTCCCCCAGATTCAAATGTGGAAACTTCATCTCCGATGTAATGGTATTGACAAGTGGGGTCTTAGGAGATCAGGTCATGAGGGTGGAACCCTCATGAAAGTTATTAATGAATTATAAAAGAGGCTTCACATTTGCTCCTTTTGTCTTCCCTCCACTCAGCCACGTGAAGATACAGGGCTTGAGGCACATCTTAGAGGCAGAGACAAGGGCCCCCACCCAGTGGACTGAAGTGATTTAAAAACAAAGTCCTAAAACCACACTTGTGAATTGATACAAAAAGGAAAAGAAGTAATAGGGTAAAGAAATACTATGTAAATTAAACTACTTAAAGCTACGTTATCTTCAGCATTCCCGAGAAATTGCAATCTACAGATTTGAGGACTAACACTGTAAAAAAATTCCAATTTATTTATTTTGCACTCATAGTTGAATGAGTGTATGTTTCATATTTTACAAATTTGCCGTGAATGGAAGGGGAAAGTCAGGCATCTGTAACAGCCTAAGCGAAAAGCATCTGGCTTCTGCTGACTTCTGGCAACCCACCCATGCCAGTCAGCAATGCTCTCCTCCACCTGCTGATGCCAAGCACCAGGCTGCACAGAGTTCCACTAGTTCAAACATTCTCCCAGGCAAGGATAACGACTCAACATTTAGGCTGCATAGACTCTTGGGGCTAATATCCCATATACATGAAAGGAACAAATAGAAAGGTCACTGAGTGAATGCTCAATGCAGTCTCCCCAGCTGCTGTCCGTCTGAAAGGGCACTCATACTTCACATCGGCCACTGCAAGGATGGACAGTGGCCCGCAGTGGAGGCTAATACAGCTAACACTAGAACCACATGATTTAGGAGGAATTTGGGACAGGAAATTAGTAAGAAGAAACATTCCGGGTATTCTAATTTGTGGTGAATTTACAAGTTAGCTGCCAATTGAGAAGTGGGACTCAGATTGCACAAAACATCATACTCCTAGCTTTTTCTAATCCAGATAATCTACCCACAGGAAACATTTAAAATTCTGATAGGATTGCATACGTGGCCACAAGCCTATCTGTGCCATCTTTGAGCTTCTCGTGGATGACTCTAGTAGCTGTGGGATTCCTGGCTGCTATGCTAGCCTCTCCTCCTTACAATACACCTTCCAGATGTCTGCCAGTTACTGTGTCAGGGAAGAGTCTCTCTTCAGGTCACTCTCCTGCTTTAGAGTTAAATACGGAGTGAAGATCAGATTCCCTTGCAAGGAGCACAGCCTCTTTAAAACCTGTCCCCTATTACCTTTTTGTTCTCTCCTCCTGACACTCAACCCCACGCCTTCCTGCTTTCAGTCCCTCACCCCAGATGCTACCTGCTGTTCCCCATCATCTAGCCTCTTACACTGAAACTTCTAAGACCAGATCAAATGGCATCTCTTATCAGTGGCTTGCTGTGAGCCTTCCATTTCTCACCGCTGTGCGCTCACAGCATTTAATCACGACTTTTACCAAGCCCTTTCCACACTGATCACGGCAGCTCCCTGGCTCCCCCCACATGCTGTCAGGCTTTCCCTGTGTGGATGCTGTTTCAGTCATCTTGGCTCCCACGCCTACCACAGGGCTGGATCTGAGCAGATGTGCAATATCATAATGCCCCTGACAATTGAAATTATCATGTTATAATAAAACATCTACAGCTAACATTTATTGATTGCCTATGATGCAGGAGGAATGGGGCCAAGTATCTGATGCATTTTATGTAATTTAATCTTTAAACAATTCTGAGAAGAAGGTGCTACTTTCTCATTTTATAGGTATCCTGAGATTGAAAACTGTTTACTTTTCACAGGCTCTCGGTACTGTTGGGTGGTAGAACAGAGATTTAAACCAGGTCTTCGTGAATCCAAATCATTGTCCTTTCCAAAAGAAATGTGCAAATTCAATCTGCAGGGTGCTTTGATTTCTTTTAAATACATTACACATTTTCACAGTTTGATATTCCACATATGTGACAAATTCTATTGGCATAGAAGTATTTATAGCCTTGGTTTTGCAAAGAAAGGCCTAATCTTGGCAATTGGCTACAGAACTTATAATTTAAAACTTCTTTGAAAGATTTCACACAAAAATACCTTAAAATATTAATAAATATTAGTCTCCTATATTTAACCTACTGCAGACAAAAGTTCTTTATGAAACTTTTTTAAAAAAAAAATTTTTTAAAGGAGGAAGTTTGGTGAGCATGAGAAAGAGTTGAATCTTATTCCTGGAAATGTATACTTGTAATTTTAATGAAACTTCAAATCCTGTACGTAGAAAAAGTAACAGTAATACTTTAATGAAAGACATTAAAGGTGCAGTGAAAAAGCTCCAACTTAAATTCCGACCATGAAGTTAGAACTATCACAAAAAATAATTTGTTTTTATTGTCACTACTTTTCTCTCCCTAAGAAGGCCTATGTGATGGGCCAGTTTATTTTATGAATTTATATCAGAATGTATGGTCTCATATCAACAAAAGGGGCTTGCTTGGATTACCACAGAACATAAATGGGCTAGATATGCTTGCCTTGCCTCTCCTAACTGAAATGCAAGTTAATAGGAGGTAGCAATATTTGCATTTCCAAGGAGGTGGGTAGAAAAAGGAACAGAAAGGGGGATTTCAGTTTCTGGTGAATCCTTCCTTTAATATTAAACCTCTCCAACAAGAAGTACTAAAAGCTCTGCAACACCCCCAGGGAACCAAATTCCAGCCACACAAAGTGACCTTTAACAGCTTTACCTCTCCTAGGAAATATTTAAATCCAAGCAACATTTGCATACTTACTTTCTCAGTTTTTGTCTAATCTCTGAATCTTTAATTTCATTTTGAAGATCCTCAAAGTTCTTAACTGAAGTCAAATTACAGAAAACTCTGAAGTCAACATATGGTGGGATCCCGTGGTCTCTACCCCTTTGAATGATGGTGGCAGCCGAGTCCACTGCTGCAGAATAAGCCGCGGAGAAGAGCCTCTGGGTCAGCTCAAGACTGAGAAGGTAGGAGGGTGCCCGCCATTTAGCTGCCACGCCAAACAGCCCCCGGAGGACCGGGTCTATCCCACCTTCCTTAATTATTCTGGATGGTGAAAAGAGCGCTTTATTGAACGGAAGGTGGCCTTCGGAAATTTCACCTAAGGTGTCATTCAGTCGGTAGAGAATAGGATTGATTAATATGTGGCCAAATCTAAAGGCTGCAGTAGCAAAAGAGTTAATGATGCCCGCATTCACGTTGGGGTTGTAGCCCCGGTAACCCCTCAGCATCCTAGTGCCAGGGTCCCCCAGGACCTTAGGCAGCCAGTGGCTGTAGGTGATGTGCTGCAGCTCCGCACCTACGATCTTCCTGGCTTCCTGGTAAACCGTGTCTCCATCCCAGTGGGGGTTTAGGGCGGACAGCTCCCTGGCCACCCTGTTGTGTTCCCGGAACCACAGGGTGTGCATGGCGGTCAGAGTCAGATGCTCGTTGGCCCGGTGGTCCCCGGCCAGGAAACAGAGGCTGTCCTGCTCCTGTCGCTCGCACCCAGTGGGTGGGTCTGTAGAAAAGGGCAATAAGTGCTTTCCCGAAGGAGGCCAAGGCAAGCCTGTCCTCAGGAGTCCCCGAAGCACGGAAGGGTCTCTGAGAGCCTGGGATTCCCGCTCCGAGCTCCCGTAAACGTTGGAGCCATCGATGTAGGCTGTTTGCTGGTTGATCTGCTCTCGTGCATAGACTGAACCCACCTTCGCAGAGGGTCGGCCGCTGGCACACGCGGGGCTGGAGCGCGCGAAGAGCATGCAGGGCGCGTGGGTGCCCCGGGGGTTGGCGTGCCGGGAGTTCATGGGGAAGCACGGAGGGTCGTTGGTGCAGACGGAGCTGCACGGCCGCCCATCCAAGAAGCGGGCTGTGCTCAGCGCGGGCACTGTGTGGTCCAAGTCGTGCTCTAGAAACCAGCCCCAGTGCATAAGCATACGTGTGTAGCTGTGGTTGGGGGTGACGGCCGCCGCGCGCGCCCACACTGTGGCGACCAGCCGGGGCGGCGGGAGGGGCTGGCGGGAGCCCACGGGAAGGCCGAGCCCGCGGGGCGAGCGGATGCCATCCTGGTAGGCGGGTTGCAGCAGGCGCGCGAAGGCGGTCAGCGCAGCGCCCCACGTGGGCTGCTGCAGGTTGTTGCACGTGCCGTCGTGGGCGCGGTACTTTCTGTGGAAACATGGGTGGGAGCAGTTTGGCAGAGGCCTGCGAGCTGTGCATCCAGATAAACTGGCGATGAGGCCGAGGGAGCGCGGGGACACCAAGTCATTGTACCGGAATTCTGAAAGACACGCGGCAAAAGCCATGAGGAGGGCGGGCCTGGGAGGGCGCGGGCAACTTGGAACTCCAGGTGCTGCGGGAACACCCCACCTGCCCTGGGTGGACAGAAGCCCTTCTTACTTCTAACAACATTTAGTTAGGTCACAACAAAAGGGGGGTTCATTCTATAACACTAAAAGATGTTTCCAGAAGATCCCTGGATTATTTTTGTGCTGTTCATCCTGTAAACAATGGCTAGCTGCTAGAAGAAGCAAAACGGAAAGAGAACAGGTGCCAGCCAGCTACTAACTTCTACTCTGTGCCTTTACAAGAACGATGTTGGCAAGGATTTGTTCATCCACATCCCAGAATTGTTTTGTTGATTTTTGTTTGTTTCATTTCAGAATTTTTTCTCTCAAGTTTTGTGCTTCTAGAGAACAAGGTCAAAGAATGTCACTATGGATCATGTGAATATTAACCCACATGATATTTGACAAGAAGGGATTAAACAGCAACTTTCTGAACTACTATAAGCTGTCATTCCCTGGCAAACAGGCAAAATAATAAGGGACATGCTTGGAGCTCTACCTTTTAACAGGGCTTAAAATTCCAGCATTCTCCCAATGCTACAAAGACTGTTCACTAAGTCGTATGAAAAGTTACCATCCCTATTTAATCCCCAGAAACTGGCAAGCGATAATGGGACCATTTGCACTTTTTCTGTGTTAACCAGCTCCTGGCTGGATCCTGAGATATCCTAATCTTGGGAATCTGGATATTTTGGCTAAAGAAGCTTTGAAAACCCATCATACTGGCTGACCGGGGACAGTCATATGCCCGTTAGGGAAATTGTACAGAGCTCTAAGGACTGAAGCAAGCTCACAGATAGGCCTTCTGCACCATGTCTCGGTTGATTTTCTGAAGGAGAATAAAGAAAGGGTAAGCCGATAGAAGTTGATGCTGTATTCACAGCACAAATAGTATGTAGCAAAGAATCTTCATTTATTTCATTTGAAAGAGAACAACTTAGAAAATCTAAAAGCTTTCTATATCATCTCATTTGACATATACTAAGTAGATGTCTGGTTTTAAAAAGAAATACACAAGAACTTGCATATACCAAAAAGCAAAACAACAACAGAAAAAAACAAAAATCAAAAGAATTGGGGAGGGATTATAAATATTATAAGTGGAGAAGAAATTTCAAGTAAATTCACTGAATGATTCAGGAGATTACAAGGATAAAGTAGAAAAATATTCCCCTGGTAATAAAGCATTTCTCTGTAAGACACAATAATATCTTTTACATTTGAAACGCAAGTTCACTTAATATAAGTTTCCTAAATTTGTTCTCTATACTTATAACTGTCAAAAGCTGAGACAAGTTTGAATATATATTTATCATCCTTACTTTGGAATTACAGTTCCTATGAGAAACATCTGTATTTATTTGGTAAAAGTAATAAGTAAATTAATTTCTAAATCCCAAGATATTCTGGAGATTAAAAGTTCGGTGTCCATTGCTAAGGTGGTAGTCAGTTTTCTGTGGGCAGTAGGCCGAGAACAGAATGGTTTTGCGGCTGACCTTTGCCTTCCAAGTCCACAGTGAGTCCCTGCTTCGCACGTTCCCGTATCAGCTGCAGCGTGTGCTCAAAAATCTCCCCTGCTCTTGCCGTTTCCACAATCAGTGGGTCACGCGGGTAATGAAACTGAGCCAGCAGGTCACTGGAGGTGTGAGGTTTTCTGCAAATGACAAAACACATGATTCTTTACAAAGCAAGACTGCAGAATCCATGAAGCTTGCAAATACTGTGCATTTAAAAAGGCATTTCCCAAACGTTCGAGAAGAATGAAAGCTCCACCACTACCATAGAAGCTCTGCAGAGGAGCTGTGGGCTCTTTTCCTATTTTGCTAACAACTTGATTCCAAATGTTAGTCCCAGTGCTGAACTCAAAAATATATGTTTTTAATGAATGGATGATTTAAACAATAGTTTTATGCAGTAAACAACATCCATGGTGGGGTTCTAAAGTGGAGGGGTCAATGAATGGATTCTAGGGGGCTCCGTAAACCTTCTGAAGTACTATGCAATACCTCGGTCTGCAAGACTTGGCATTTTGTGCCTTCTCTTCCTTAGTGTAATCTCCTAGAAATTCCCGCTTGCCTTTAGAATCCTGCTCAGGCCTCACTCTCCCTGTAGAGTTTCCCTGAGAGCTCTGACAGGCTATCACTCCATCTTCTCTATTACTCCTGTATCCTTAAATACGTCTCTTATATACTCAGTAAGATGTACTTGAATTGCTGACATATTGTCTCCTCTCCTAAAGAAAGAACCAGGTTACTGATGAGATATTGACCTATTATTTATCTTGTATCCCAAATACCAAGCCCACTGACCACCACACAGTAGCAGTCTATGCACATTTGTAGAACTGAACTAAATATGTTAAAAAGAAATTTAAAAGCACTGAGAATGTGAAGCAAACTGTTTTAGAGACTTTGGTCAACTGAGGTACATCTCATCCTCTATGTCTTGAATCTTAATAACTTGAAGTCACAGAATAATAATAATTATGCTAGTAGCTCACTTTGGTTAAGCACTTTCTATTCTCCAGGCACTGCTGAAGCACTTTTTACATATTATCTCATTTTTTCTTCCTAGCAAACACATCCATGAAGTAGTTCCTACTGTCATCCCAATTTTACAGGCAAGGAGCCTGAGGTACAAAGATGTTAAGTTACTTGCCCAAGGTCACCCAGACAGAAAGTAATGAAGTGAGCAATCAAGGAGAGAATATAAATCGGCTGCGTGGTTCTAGAACACACGCCCATGACCACAAAGCCATTCTGTTTATGGATGTGCAGGAAGCCAGATGAGACTCAATTTGGGATTTTACAATGTCCCTTTTTGACCACTAACTGCAAATACTGAATATATACTTCATTCCATTATGATGAAACCAACAATCATTTTTTTTTTTTTTTTTTTGTTAATACATCCTGATGTCACAAACACAGAGAAGTTAATGGGATTGGAAGTTTTCACTAGTCCACAAACATTCCAATTCAAATTAAAATAAAGTAAAATGCCAAATATCCTAAACATAATGTTTGTCATAGCCTCCCAGTTTATACCGAGGTGTGTGTTCAACTTAATAATCATTCTCAATTCACACATTGCAGGAGCACTGCATCTGACACTGTTTGGTGGATGCTGAGGTAACAGAGCCCATTACCTAGTGTCTATTGTCAGCCTGTATAGCATGGACCTTTGGCATATATTAATGCCATTTAGATTCTATGGGGAAGAAGTGTCCCCTTTTTTAAGGTGAACTCATAATGATAGCTAGCCCAGGTGGGGACGCATACACAAGGACTAAAGAAAGCACTCTTCTGCAATCTTATGTACTATAATGTGACTTATGGAGATGATAAAAACCAAGTAGAACAGAAATGAAAACAAGTTTTCAATCTATATAAAATAAATTCTTACTGTGAAAATAAATGTCTTCGTGTGGAGTTAATTGCACTATCAACTCTCTGTACAGCATCAAGAATGGAAGACTCAACAAAGTCATCGCCAGCTTGTCTACCCTGTAGAGCTTTAAAAATCAATTCCATGATTATAAATATCAAACAGACTTTGAAGTTAGGCATGATATGATATAAATGGCATTACATTTTTAAGAGAAAATCTCTAAGACAATGAAAATGTTATACAATATCTACATGATAATGCCCATTGCAGAGAGTAGGTAATTATCTTGAAGCAAAGCTTCATCTAACAATAACAATGTTATTTAGAGAATTAAATTATTCCAAAATCTAGTAAAGCTATGTGAAATATTTCCTTTTGAACAACGCTGATTCACACGGGATCCAAGTTTGTCAGCAATTTGTCATCTTGGAGAAGGCATGAAATACCTATCTCTTCAGCCACCTTGCTTTAATGTTAAACATTAAAGCAAAGTGAATATTATTCCATCCCACAGAGGCTTCTTAAGGCAAGAATTGAACTCTCAGTAAGATTTATGGGAAAATTAATTTATGCTTTTTTATAGCTCTCCAACATGTGAAAATACTGAAAAGTTGAATCCTGTAGACAAAGGAAGCTATTTACTTACAGCTGATCATTTCCAATCTATTGAATCTTCTTCAAATGCTGGTTTAAGAAGTTTAACCATAAAAGAACAAATACTAAATAAAAATAATTATGAATGAATATTTACAGTTCATATCAGAGATATAATCAGCACAGTATCTAATTCATTTTGAGATATTAAAAGTAGAGTAACATTTTATATGACACAGACAATGAAAACAATAACTTTTTAGCACTGCTAAATACTGAAAGCAAAAGTCGATATAGTTTTAAATGTTGAGTTTGAAATTATTGTCATTTAGGGGAAGTAAAAGTGATTACAAACTTAAATAGTAATAGGAAGGTATTGTATGTATTATCAAAAAGAACTCACAATGAAGTAACCAATGTAAGCCTAAGTCAAGGTGTTACCACAATATAGTATGGTGCTATTTTAAATATATGTATCTATATATGTGTTTATATACATATTTAAGCATATATATTTCACAATAGATGTGCCCATATAGCATTCTACATCTAGATATTACAGGAAAAATCCTGTATATTATGACCATCTATATACCCTAGATTTTATTGTCTTAAAAAGACCACTAACATAAAACAATGTAAAGAAAAAAAATACCAGTGGTAGGGAAATATTATAAGGAAAAAATAAAATTCAGGACTATACTGAAAATCCTTCTTGGCAAACTAGATTATGTGCAGCAATTGTGAGTAAGTAGGTGGCTCCATTGTCAAGTCATTGCAGCCTTTATCATGACCACAAGATTGAGGCTCAAAATGGCCAGTGTTGCTTTTCCTAGTCCAAAAAGTACATGGGATTGACCACATATTAGCTAAAGATAATTGAAAGAAAAAGAAACACAAAAATTGGTTAATTCAATTGGATGAAATTAACAATTTCCTTTCAAGTAAGAATATGAACAAAATAACTAATAAATGACACAAATAGCTGACAACATTTGCAATCTCAAACTCTGATCCAGAAATGATATTCTGTTTCATACAAAGAAACTTTATAATACACTAAGAAAAAAAATATAGGCAAGTTATAAAAGAGGAAAGCTCAAAAGTTAATAAGGATATAACAAGCTCAAAATCACTTGTAACCTCAAAAATGAAATTTAAAGTGTCAATGAACTACCATTTTATGCTTATTCTGGCAAAAAATAAAAAGTTGGTTAAAGCCAAATTTTCTCAGAAGTGAGAGTTCGTATAAATCCTTAGGCAGCCTGATAGGACTGTGGAATTGACACCTATTTTGGGGATTGTATTTAGAGCCTTTATTGGCTGGAAAAAGATTGTGGTTGTTACTTAGTAAAATTACATATGCACACATCCTCTCATCCAGCAATTTCAATCCCATGCATATATGTAGAAAAATTATAATTGAAATCCACAAGAGTATGTATGAGAATGTTTATTGTAGCTTTGTGCAGTAGGAAATGTAGAAAATTGGTTGTACAGCAGTGGAAGTATGGGTGTATTAGTCTGTTCTCACATTGCTATACAGAACTACCTGAGACTGGATAATTTATAAAGAAAAGAGGTTTAATTGGCTTACAGTTCCTCAGGCTGTACAGGAAGGATCACTGGGGAGGCCTTAGGAAACTTACAATAGTGGTAGAAGGTGAAGAGGAAGGAAGCACGTGTTACATGACTAGAGCAGTAGAGAGAGCAAAGGGAAAGAGGCCACACAATTTTAAACAACCAGATCTCATGAGAATTCACTCACTATCACAAGAACAGCAAGAGGGAAATTCACCCCAGTCACCTCCCACCAGGCCCCTCCTCCAACATTGGGGATTAAAATTTGACATGAGATATGGGCGGGGACACAAATCCAAACCAAACCAGTGTGCAAGGAAAATGTGGTGGATGTCCAACGTGCATGCAACAGTTAGAATTGCAAGTGCATGCAACAGTTAGAAAATGTGGTGAATGTTCAACGTGCATGCAACAGTTATACATGATGTAAATGACGAGTTGATGGGTGCTGATGAGTTGATGGTTGCAGCACACCAACATGGCACAAGTATACATATGTAACAAACCTGCACATTATGCACATGTACCCTAGAACTCAAAGTATAATAATAAAAAAAAAAAATTAAAAAAAATATATTCCCAAGATAACATCAAAAAAAAAAAAGAATTGCCAGTGCATACGTGGACAGACACTTAAAAGATACTTAAGGTAAAAATTAGAAAACTAGAAAGAGATTACCATAAAATGATTGAATTAAAATATATAATACTTAGATGTAGTATAGTTGTTACATATATAGCAAGGATGACGGAAACAGAGTATGGACATAAAAGGGAATTAATTAATTAGTTAACTAATTGAGTAATTAATATAATTACTATGATTACGAGAAAATAATACTATAAATATAGCTACATTAGTCTGCTTATGTGTTCAAAAAAAGTCAGTAGGAATGAGCCTACTTAATTTACTTTTACCTTAGAAATAAAGAAACTAAAATCAATCAAATCAATCTGCACTGGCATGTATGACTTGATTATTTAATCAACATATTAGATTTTCTTTGTCCCTTTTACTCCTTCACTTTTGGACCTCAAATATAGAAAGCATCATTAACTACATGCTTCTGTTTGTGTCAGGTATTGTCACTGGGCCACTGCATCTGGGACAAAATATGTTATCAAAGGTCTACTTGGATTGTAGAAGGTTGTGTGCTAGGACTGAGTTACCCTACAGGATGTAGTGCTATTGAGATGCCAAAATTTAAAAGGCTATTCACTATGGTGGTCAGAAGTTGATGTAAACTATAAATTTCAGGAAATCATCATTTAATATGTGAATGTGAATTGGATTGATATTTTTGCTTTTATTCTATTTATAAAATTGTTTTGCTGCTATAGTTGTATAAGATTTACAAGCATGGGGATTTTACAGCCCTTGTCTTCAACTTTCAGCGCATCCATTAAATGGAAAGAGCAAGCCTTGCTCAGTACAGAGCTCAGGGCTGATGTGATTATCAGATAGCAAAGACACGCAAAGTTCTTTCAAAACTGCATGTCACAATGCACATATAAGGTGACTTTCATGATTAATGTGTTTTAAAACCCACAGGCAATCTGTATCCTCACACGATTATCAATAGATACTATGTTATACTGTCATTTCCTTCAATACGATTTGCTATTTATCTATAAGAATCAGAAGTCAACCAGCGTGTAAAAGTGAAAAGGAGAAGAAAATTTAGAAAATGGAATAGTATGCAAATGCTCTTTGAAATATTTAAACTACACAAATAGAAAACACATAAAGTTGTTCAGATCCTTAAAAGCACATTAAATACATGATATAGTCAAACAAAAACATTCTTGATAACAAAGCTTTCTCGTTTTTATGTTAGTTATGATTTTTTTAAGTTTATGTGGTTTAAGAATAAACTAAAACTAACTCTTTTATTATTCATTTGATTTCAGTGTTGTTTGGTACAAATTGCAAAAATAGTTTTATAAATTTCTTTAGAACAGCACTGTGTTATGTAAGCAAATCCAATGTGTTGGGGGCACATTAGAATTAATCAATACTGTTGTAGTTATTTGTCTCAAAAATCATCTCAGTTAATGGCCTAAGGAATAGAATAATCAGAAAATTCTGAGCATATTCTCCATCTTTTCGTGCAAAATTTTACAGGAGTAGAGGGACAATTAGATCATTTTTCTTTGTTAAGTCTCAGGGTTAATAAAAATGAGAAAAAGGCCTCAGTAGATTTACAAAATGAACATGTTTAAAGTTATTGATGCACATCTACTTGCAATCCTGTCCCTGTATCTATGAGGCTATCACCATTATTAATGGTAAAATCAAATGGTAATATTGAGTCCTTTCAGAAAAGGGGGAGCTTAGGCCACGTGGCCACTCACTGCTCTGCATGAAAGGCCTGGTTCTGGGTCACTTGGGGACTGAACCTAGAGATGGGATGGGAAAACTAAACAGCTGTGCTCCTCTGTCACCATTGCTAAAATACGCCTAGACCTCAATAAAGGCTGAGATTTTTTCACAATTACCAATGGAGTTTTGAGTATCTTTTTATCCTCCCCTTTTTCCCCCTGGGGAAGAAAATTAGCAGATGATGTAACTATCATAACTAAATAGGTCTTATCACTCTCAGTCTTTCCCTAAAAAGAATGATGCTAACACTGACATATGTGAGGGCTGTCCTAGGACACCAGAGACATGACCACAGCATACACACTGATGGTAATGACTGCCTTTATGAAATCATTTTCTTTCAACAGCAGAGAATCTGTCTTACTCACCACTTTGCATCATTAAACATGGAAACGATTTCATTGCCCTGGAGAGCTCCACTGTTTTTCACAGACTGGAAAAGGAAAGGCACCATCTACTTTGTTTAAGGTTATGGTGCTCAGATTACAACGTTTTATTTGTTTTCTTATAATGTTTAAACTATTCAAACACTACAACACCAAAAATCTGGAAATGCTACTTACACA